ACAGTTTTAACCAAACATCTATTTTTTCAAACCAACCTCAACTAAAAGTACTTTTTATAAAATAACTTTTTTTAAACCACAACCACAATATCTACTGCAATACCAAACACACTGATCATCATGATATAAATTATAAAGTGGAGTTCGGTAATAGTATTTTACTAGCCGTATGCTGCGCGTTGTAATATATATATATATATATATATATATATACAAAAATATATAAAAAAACAAAATAAAAAATCAACAACTCAAGTAATAGCCTTCACCAAATTATTTATTAAATAAGTTAGTTTTATTTTAATTAAATAAAAAATAACAATAATAAACCAATAATGTTTTCCATAAAAATAACCACAATAACTTTTTTTTTTAAATATTTGGAAGTATAAAATTAGATAAAAAATAGACAAAAAACTCAAATCGAGTCAACTCAAGATAGCATGATAAACATTTAATCTAGATAATAAGGAGTTAATTAACTTGAATTAATCTATAAAACTCGTGACCTATATTATTAGATCAAGATAACCCAATAAAAAAGAAATTCAAGAAAAACATAAAGCCATTATTTTTTACATTATAATGTCGAACTATAAAATCATAAAAGAAAATAAGCTATAAAAAATGATATTAACCTGAGTTAACTTTTCAAACCTATAACTTGAAGCATTATACATTGAAAAATCGTGAAATATAATCTCCAATAAATAAAATATTTAAGAATAAAATTGAAAAAAATAATTATATAAAAGGATATAAAAAAATAATCATTAAAAGAATAAGAAATAAAAATTAAAATAAAAAACAAATTACTAGGAAGCAAAAACATTTTTAATTGAAGGGTGAAACCAAAAGGAGAAAAAACTTTAACAAAAAGACAAAAACAATCAAAAGAATAAGAATTAATCTTTTTTAAAAAATAATACATCATAAATTTGAATTGACAGATAAATTTAAAACTCAATAAAAATTAAAAAAAAGCTAAAAAAATCAAAAATCAAAAGAAGAAGAACAAAAATAGAAAAAACAACACATGAAAAATTGATATTAAAAAATGAAACTGAAAGAAAAATCAGAACTTTACAAAAGAATAAAAAAAATAAAAAAAAATAAAAATGAAATCTGAAAACAAAATAAATTGAAGCAACTCTAAAAATTAGGAGAGCTAGAGCAAATATTGAGGAAAAGAGTGAAAAAGAAAGAAGAAAAAAGGCTCCTGACATCAAACCAGAGTTTTGTTTGAAACACGAGTTAAATAGACATAGAGGGAGGAGTTGAGAGGATTTGAATGTAGCCTTAAAAGCCACTGTTTGGCTACCAGGTGATACCGCACAAGATGCTTGAAACAACAACAATCTTTTGTACACTAATATGTGCAGCTCATGTAAACCAACTTGTTTTAAACTCATTAAATATTAAAGTATAAATCCGCCCCTAACCTTACCTAACAAAAAAAAATCAAGGTTAAAATGACATAAATGGCCTTTGAACAAAGCTTTGTTTTTTTTTTTTTATATTCCTTAAGTGCATTCTCGTGACTTTGTCATTTTTTTTTTTATATATATACCTTAAGTGCATTCTCGTGACTTTGTCATTTTTTTTTTTATATATTAAACAATAAAGTATAAATGTATCCCTGATTATTACCTGATAATAACATGAAAACAAGTTTAAAATGGCATAATGTTCATGATCAAAGCTTCTGTGTTTGGCATTCTAGTAACTTAATTATGAATTTAAAGTTAATCGTGCATTTGAAGTTTAAAATGCCAGAATGCTCTTATATTTCATGCTTAACTTTTTTTTTTTTGTTCTAAGAGTATTTTTGTATTTTTATTATTTAAAAAATAATAAAATATCTAAAATACCTAATTAGTACCAGGCTAAATTATTCTATTATAAAACAAAATAGTAATCCACAATAAATATAAACATGGTGTTATCGTAAATAACATTATTCTTACCTCCTTCCTTTCAGTTATTTGTTATTTCCTTGCTTTGATTGGACATTTGAATAGCCCTATATAGGCGCTTGGAAGAACAACAATTGTCATTTAGAAAACTTTTACGTTGAGTATTGTACTATGATCAAATTCTTGCATAACCCAATGAGGAGCTGCTTGCACATACATGAAAAGAGCTCTAATGGATCAGATTATCACCAGCGGTTCATAAAGCTGCGAGGAAAGAAGTGTCTCATCCTATTTCTTCTGTGTTCAGGCCATCATAGTCCTGTCACTAAATAATTTAAGTTTGATTTCTGAAGAGTTCATTATTATTATTATTGATAAAATGCTAGTTATGTTATATATTTAATGACAGAAATGTTACATGTATAAGCTTTTAAGCCCGAATCCGAAATCCTCATAGCATATTATATATGAATTTCTCTGCTTTTTTTTAGTACACAAGAATATGCTTAAAAAAAAAAACTAGGCCTAAACACATATTTATTGGAAATATATTGTAGTGCTAATGGATAGAGGATTGGAAATGATCCTAATTCTATAATGTTTTTTCCTAGATAAAATGATCCTAAGCCTGTAGTTTCTCATTGCTCAATATGAAAGACTATGCAATAAAAACTTGAATTCATTCCACATCTAAATAAATATCCACTTTGTCTTGAATTCTCATAATAGCCAAAACTCTTCACTTTGAGCCATTTAAAGCTATTTCGTACTTCTATTAGCTTGAATAAATATCTACTTTACAAAACTCTCCACCTTGGTCTTCAAGCCCTTTAGAGCTAAATGTTCATGTTTCTACTAGCTTGGATAAATACCCACTTTAGCTTGAACTCTCATAATAACCAAAACTCTCCACCTTCATCTTCGAGCCCTTTAGAGATGATTCATACCCCTACTGGTTGTAGAAATTGCGTTTAAACAATACTTGAACTTGGATAACATAAGCGCCTTTCATGTTTAAGAATTAATTATAGTTATTTTTAAAAGTATTTTTTATTTAAAAATATATTAAAAATATATATTTTTTATTTTTTAAAAAATTAATTTTTACATTAGCACATTAATAAAATCTAAAAACACAAAAAAAATATTAATTTTAAGCAAAAAAAATTTAATTTTTTTAAAATATTTTTAAAATACAAAGATAAACAAAAATAATTTTTATCTTTATAGTAATCAAAGCTACAATAAATTATAAAGTGACTTTTAAACCAGCGGTGCAACTACCAATACTGAATACATATCTTATAATGTATCTTTTATGATCAAAATCGTTAGCATAATTAGAATCAATATAAACAATAACACAACTAATTTATCTCTCATATACCAAGTAAGTTTTATATACCAAGTAAGTAACTAATATGATAAGATCAATTTCATAGTTTTTACCACAATTATTATTAACCATAAAGGTGTGAAATCTCTTATAATTTCTACTAGCTTGAATAAGCACCCATTTTAGCTTGAACTCTCATGATAGCCAAAACTCTTCACCTTCGTCCTCGGGCCCTTTAAAGATAATTCATACTTCTACTGGTTGTAGAAATTGAGTTTAAACAATGCTTGAACTTGGATAACATAAGCGACTTTATCAACATATCAATTGATTTATCCAAGATATTAATATTCTTCACATTAGTATCACCCAAAGTAATGATGTCTTAAATAAAATGGTATTTGATATTTGTGATTTGTCCTCTCCTAGAACATGTAAGTTTGTGAATGACCTCACAAAATAAACCCCTTAGCAAAATAGTTTTTTTTTTTGCTTCGTGTTTAAGTGGATATTTATTTACCTAATAGCTTTAGTTTTTAAAGTAAACCGCGTAAACTAGACATTTAGTAATATATAAACAAAAATTTATTATTTAGTGGGTCTCATAATTTTTTGCATCAAACTGGGCGTTTTGCACAAGCAACTAGGAGCTGTTTCTTTTAATTCACATGGGCATTATTTATAACAGTGCCAGGTGATGCCAGGTGAATTATAATTCACCTTGGCATTGTAAGAGTGAACAGTGCCAAATGAGTTATAATTTACTCGTGAGAAACATTCACCTGAGTAAAATTTATTGGACCACATCCAACCTGGTAAAAAAAATTTAATTTTTTTAAAATTATATTTTACTTAAAAAATACTGTTTAATATTATTTAATAACACTACATAAATTAGAAGAACATTGCATGATAATGTAGCATTTATGAAATTTGATTGCAATTTCAATTCTGTTTCTAATGATATTTTACCTGATTTTATTGTATGCTCAAAAAACTATAGAAACTATAGTTTTTATCAGATGAATTTTATACGTGATGAAATTGTAGATAATTTAAAATAATAATAAAAAGTATTTGATATAAAATATTATTTATTTAATAATATAATAATGGTAGTTAAATCTATAATATTTAAATTAAAAACCATCAATATATATATATATATATATAAATTAATTACTTTGTAACCTTAATTTGAAAAGTATATTTAACCAAATACATTAAACAACTTTTTATTTAACCTCAATTTCAACTACAGTTTTAACCAAACACCTATTTTTTCAAACCAACTTCAACTAAAAGTATTTTTTATAAAATATTTTTTTTTCAAACCACAACCATAACAGCTACCGCAATACCAAACACAAAGTGCTTTTCACCTGAAAATATATTAAAATAATATTTTTTATTTTTTAAAAATTATTTTTTATATCAACGTCTTAAAATAATTTTAAAACACTAAAAAAATGTTAATTTAAAGTAAAGAAAATTTTTTTTTTTCAAAAATACTTTTGAAATATAAAAACAAATAAGAGTAATTTTTATCTTTATAGTAGTCAAAGCTATAATAGATTATAAAGTGGCTTTCAAATCAATAGGGCAACTACCAATGTTGAATACATACCTTATAATAGTTGAATATATTTAAAAAAAATACTTTTAAAATATAAAAACAAATAAAAATAATTTTTATCTTTATAGTAGTCAAAGCTACAATAAATTATAAAGTAGCTGTCAAATTGGTAGTGCAACTACTAAAGTTGAATATCTTATAATAGTTAAATACATACTTTATAATATATCTTTTATGATCAAAATCTCTAGCATAATTAGAGTCAACATAAGCAACAATACAATTAGTTTATTTCTTATATATCAAGCAAGTATAATTAGAGTTAACATAAATAACAATACAACTGGTTTATCTTTCATATACCAAGCAATTATCTAATATGATAAGATCAATTTCATGGTTTTTACCATAGTTATTGTTAATCATAAAGGTGTTAAATCTCTTGTACCATTTGTAGGGAGATTTTTTAAGTTTATAAAAGGATTTTTTTAGTAAGAACATATGACATTCTTGTATAGAAACCAAAGACAATATAATTCTAATTTGAGAGCTTTTTAATGTCGTGCTTTCATGTAGATGGTGGAAAGTTCATTAGAATTATATTATAATTCTAAGATATAGCCTAGTTGCCTTTCATATTGCAATTAAAATTCGTATAGAAACCAAATGCTATATTTTATCAGGAGTTTGAAACATATTCGAGACTTTTTTCATGGGCTCAAAGTTGAAACCGAAGTGATTTTTTTTCGTCGGCTCAAGGTCAAAACCTACGTGTTTTTTTTTTTTGTTTTTTTCATGGGATTAACAAAACCTAAGTGACCTTCTTCACTAGCTCAAGGTCCAAACCTACACGATAATTTTTATGGCATTAAGATTGAAACCTAAACAAAAGAGCTCGCATAAAAGCTCACAACCGAATACCCAAGTGCTTGTTATTACCACTTACATTTAACAAGATTTTTCACTCACAAATAATGAAAACATCACTCACTGAAAAGAGTAGATTGCAATGTTGAAGTCTGAGTATTTATAAAGAAGTAATATAACTCTTTTAGGTAAAGTAAAATGAGCATTCAATGTAGAAAAAAAGAATAATCAAATAGTAAGCTCAAAGCAGTAAGAATATAATTCTCAAGATAGCAATAATTATTCAATGGTTACAGCAAGTTCTTAGGATAAAAGGTAAGGTTTATTTATAGGAGAATATGACTGACTAACTTGTCATTTAAGGGATAGTGAAAATTAATGAGCTGAAAATACTGAATTGTGATAGGTCTGGTATATATATTGGAAAGCTCAAGTCAAGTGATGTAAAACATATGTCAAGTTAGAGCAACCTTGTCTATTTTGTCTTGGATGGCAAAAAGATGATAAGGTTGTTTTAAATTTAGATTTTAGTACTGTAAAGACAACGTATATAATTCATACTTTAAAGCAAGGACAAGCACTTGTATATGAGCAAAGGGTTGACGGCATGCTAGAGAAGAAGACATCTAGTTTATAAATTATTTAAGGATTTGTGTTTATCATGGTTGTTTAGTTTGTTGGTTATTTTTAGAATATTTTTTGGATTATTTTAATTATTTATTTTTTTAAATTTGATCTATTTATTATTGTTTTTTTATTATTTAATTGAAATAAAATCAACTTATTTAAAATATTAGAATCTATAACTCAAATCCCGTAATTTTATCTTTTAAAGAGACATGCGATAGCTAAACAAGAATAGTGAAAAACTATATATACAATACAACGATAATCATGCATGGAATTAGAAACGAACATGAACAGCTCGCCTGATTGTCATTTCGGTAAACTGAGATCAAGAAGGATAAGCAGCGTCTATTCAGCTTGATAAATCAACACGGAATCTCACCAATCATCCAGTTTTACACCTTCAATCACCTTCCCTTCTTATTTTGCTTCAGCCAAGTTAGGTTTAGCAGTGCTCTCGCCATTCTTGACTGGGTAAGAAGATTCCATTGCAATCCCACATCTGCCAGTGTATGTGTCGCCGACGTTACGCTGCATCTTGATGTATCCATGCTCCCCCCATTCCTTTCCCCATGAGTTCCTAACAAGCCAGTAATCCAAGCCTTTCTCCGAGCCATATCCAACAACAACCACGCCATGGTCGAGGGCTGTCCCACATTCACCAGTGAACACTCCCTAAGTAGATCAGAAGAGAACGAAAGGGCTCACAAATCACAAGTATTCCAAATTGACGTGTTAAGAGCAAGATGAGGCACGGAGATTAAAGAATGAGTCGACTTACAGACTGGTAGAATTGTAAAGCCATGCCACTGGCTTCAATGGCGACACTAACTGGCTGATGAGCCACAGCTTTCTGCAATGCTTTCTCATCGTACGGCAAAACATCCTCAAACCCATCAATGCTAACAGCCTTAGTTTTCATCTGCGAAGATCCAAAACAGGCAAGAACCCCAAGAGCGTGAACTACAAAACCCAACAATCTGGTGTTGATTATAATTTAAATGTGCATATTATATATGATACTGACCTTGTCTTTGTCACATTTATCATCATCTCCTACGTACGGATAGTCCTTTTCGGTGTCCAGGCCGCCGTTGTTGATAATGAATTGGAATGCATAGTCCATGAGGCCTCCATTGCAGCCTGCGTTATAGGTCCTGTCACAATCTACAAGTTCTTGCTCTGATAGAGAGATTAACTCCCCCGTTGCTATCTGGTTTATTCCTTCTACAGCAGCAACTGTTGAAAAAGCCCAGCAACTACCTGCATCGGCAATATCATTAGAGTTTTAGGCCTAGCCCAACTCTAACAAGAGTGGAGGCAGGTGGCAAACTAGCTGACTTTGCCTTGAAACTGGGCCATAACTCATAATTTTATAGATATTATTTGGGTTGGATAAGGATGGACTGGCCCATCTCATGTGATTTGTCTATTCAGTGACGCCATACAAGAACGGAAGCGAGACTCCCTGTGCCACCCAAAAGGTGCAAAAACTACGATTTTGCAAGTCTAGAAAGATATCTACTAGCTCCTGCTAATTCAAGAACACTATTTTCTTTCTTATGAAAAATTAAACGATGCTGCTGTGCTCAACACAACATCACATCTTCAATCCAAACCTCGAGAGTTCAAACAGCAAAATGCTTGGATTCAGAATCCAGATGAGCATGGATGAACGATTATCATTGTAAAGAGGCCGTGACGCCTCCCTTGTACTGAAAATGATATTTATTACAAAGAAAAACTAGCCTAGTTGTTGGTTTTTTTTTTAAAAAAAAAAGTTGGATTGTTTCAGGAAACAAAAGGAAATGAATTATTACCACAACTTCCTTGATCTTTGATCGGGTTAACTGCTCCTTTTGCTCTCCAATCCACGGATTCCGGCAGCTTGTCACCAGGCTTGAAAGCATATCTTTCACTCGGGCTTTTGGACTTCATTAATCTACGCTTAGCGTCACTCCTTGTGCCTAGAAACATGGCGCGGTACTCTTCATTGGTAAGATCTGCAAACTTAGTCAACCCAACTTTGTACGTATGGTTTTGGGAGTTATGTTCATCAATGAACCTCAAATTATTTTTAAAGATTTCAAACCTCTCTGCTTCCTCTCCTAGCCTGTTGTGTGTTTTACCGTGCTTTGCAAGCCACCATTTATACATACTCATCACCTCATCATCGCTTCTCCAGCTTGATCGATCATGGTTTAGTTGATTGTCATTAGAGGTAAGGATTGACATGTCCAAGGCAGATGACATGGTGAAGAGAAGGAAGAGAAGGGCTGATATGGCAAGTGCCATGCTTGGTTTGAGAAGAGAGCAATGGTGGATGGAGAGAGTAGTTGTGAAGAGGAGGAGAGAGCGATGTGACTTTTATAAAGGCAATGATCGTTTATGCATAATCGAGAGTAAAACTGTCACATACAAGTCTTCTTACAAGATACAAGACCAATCCGAGCCCTTCGGTTGGCAAACAGTAGCAGTAATTCTTTCTACCTTGACAAGGTCCCTCGGTCATCGCATGTTAGGTTTTGTCACATTGAGTCATCTTCAGCGGATGCTTAGAGGCATGGTTTTCTCTTACCAGACAGTCAAAGTGCAACGAGGCTCCCGAGAATTTGGTAGATACATAACATCCACTTGCTTGAGACAATCAACCTAAATTTTATTTTCATCTTCTCATATACGCAAGAAAATCTCACCTTATCCATTGACAGAAGAAGACGATGAAGAGGCTGCTCGATCCATACAGGTTTCTTGCTTCTTCGGCCACAGATTTCAACGATGAAGAGGCTGCCCGATCCATACAAGTTTCTTGCTTCTTCGGCCACAGATTTCAACGGTCTAAAATATAACACATTAAATTTTATCCTCTCTTCTGTTTTGTAGGTGTAGCTAACGTTCCATATCACCTAACAAACAATCCTTGCGCTGCTGAGTCTTGGTCACAGCCATATTCCATCAAGGCATCAGGTAAAATTGTGCTTTATTCAAATTTCCGTGCAAGACACTATAATTTAAACACAATTATTGCATTCCCTTGATGGAATACCATCATGTCTTGTCATATTCGGCAAACCAATTTCCGATTTAGCCAAAATCTTTGACGTTCAGGCCATTATTTTGTATATTCAAAATAGGCGAAGTACACGGTCCATTATCATCTTTGCAAGCAATGAAAGAATTACAACGGGTTTCATTTCTGCTGAAGCCAACAGCTGCACATACTCTATATTCCTATTTAGAAGATTTGTATATATAATTTGACACATATCAGATACAAGATCCTGGCATTTCTTGGCAGCAGAGGTAAGGAGCCTAATGACAAACCTTTCCCCCAGAATATCAACCAATGAACATGCAGGACAAAAGGAAAAGAAAAAAAAACAAAAAAAAAAGAGGAAAGTAAAGCAAAATAATGTGAACAGAGGAGGAAAGTAAAGCAAAATAATGTGAACAGTGGTGGACTCAAATTCGGACGAAGAATTTCAACTGGCATTAGCTCTAATGAACATTTTTTCAGATGGAACTGCCACCCACCTGGTAATTAAGATCATTTGCCTTTTGCTTTATCAATGGAATCTCTTCATGCTGAAGGCCAGCAGTCTCAAATTCACAAGGCAGTATCTCTGATTTGTCCTTGTCAATTTTGTTCAGAATGCCTTGTAGAAACCTGGGTCTCCACCAAATTTGCTTCATGCTTCCTCTTACTTCTGCGTTTTGATCGGGGTGATCGAGTCTTTGGAGAACGCTTAATAATCTGCTCTTGGTTAATTGTTAACTTTTTGTTGGAAGGGAGTTCAGGAGGAGCATCTGGCCATGGTGTTCGTTTTGATGGCACAGTAATTTCCAACGGTGGGTCAATTACCCATCTGTAAGAATACATGATAGAATTAAGCTTTCTGGAAACTAACCCAGTTGCCAAATTAGTAAGAGAAGATAACAACCATCTGTCTGCAGCACAAATAAATACAACAGATTCTTGTTGAAAATACCATGTTAAAAATAACTAAGGGGAGAAGGAAGGGAACTCTTACATTACATTACTATCCTAAGAGAGGGCTTGAACTTGTACTAGTTACGTACTAGTTACATCCGTGCACCTAGGAGAACTAAAAAACACTTTGAATGAAAGCTTCAAAATTAATTCCAACACTCCCCTTTAATTATGTTACTCTCCTAAGAGAGGAAGCCATAGACCTGGACTTAGATTTACAATACTATGAACACATATTTATACTAGTCTAGGATAATTCAAGAGACTTAAAAGATAAATACTTCTTTAATAATAGTTACATGCATACAACTAGGAGACACCTAGAAGAACTAGAAAAACACTTTGAAGCATATTACCTTGATTTTGGAGTATAAAGGACCACAACCTGATAGCCTAAACAAGGAAAATTGCAATGCAAGGCCCAGCCTATTATCATTAAGAGTCTACGACCATCTTGAGCAATGCCCAGCCAAACAAGCACGAGTCATGAGGGTCAAAATAGTTTGATGAAATTCCCTTACTAATCATGAAAGCCTAAGCAAGTGAGATTTAGGAAAAGAAGGAGAAGTTTTCAACATATCAAAATGCACATGCAAATTATGAAAGCTTGTCTACAAAAATTAATGAGGCAGGCCCTGCAGCTCCTGAAATTCTGAAGATAATGGAATTTGCATCAACAACATATGCAACAGAGTTTGACATCTCTGATCCTCTGGGCCATTAAAGAAGAAAGAAAGGTGAGTGTCGGGCTTCAAAAATCTATTCATTACAATGAAGAAAAGGTCAATTCTTTCAGTGTTTCCCAAGTCCTCACCAACTAATATTGACCTCTTAATGAGCTCAGGTGCCACCAATCTCTTTCAGTAGCAATAAAAGATGCTCGCCATCCATTTCATCTACATGTAACAACACGGTCTTTCCAAAGCTTATACTCCAGAAATCTAGTAGTTGTTCACATTTTCCAGTAGGCTTGAGCCTATTTTCTCACCCAAAAGCTAATGACTATTCTCTCTGTCCTATAGTGTCCAATTTGACTTTTCAGACAGTTTAAGAAAACTAAATTAAAACAGCGCCACCTCATTTTTTTCCACGGATTTTCTACAACTACCCCTTAATTCTTTCAATAAGAAACAGTTCTACGTAGAACTTTAAGGGTTATACCCCTTTAATTCTCTGGCTACATATGCATGTTGGGACAACTAAAATAGTAAGCTGGATGATCTTTGAGGGATGAAGAGAGCAATCAATTACCTAAATAGTGGATAGAAAATATTTACTTTCTGAAAAATACAGAACCTTACTTTAACAACAGGGAGTTCATGAGATCATGAAATTATTGTGGTATGGTATCAATGGAACAATGCACCTGTAAGCACTGATAAGTGAATTTTTCATACAAATCAGCATCCCTAAAATGGTTCATCAACATTTGTTACACCAGCCAATATAAAACCAAGAGTTAGCTAGTTCATCAACACCATTGACGCAATATCAAGGAGGATAGTTTTTCAGTATATCATGCAGGGAGCCAATTTTCTTCTCTGTTTTATTTCTTTTGTTCCTGGTACATAATGTCATGCTATAGCACAGTTCCATGAACCAAAAACATGCTACCTAAGATGCATAAGTTCAAGACATGCCAACAACTGTCTTCGGGGACAGGAGTCGCAGTTCAACCTATCATCCAGCAATTTCTTTTCTTTCATTTTTTTCTTTTCTCTGTTTTTTTCTTTCTTAAAAAAAATATCCTTACCTGCTACGACACTTGGGGCAGAACTTGATGACTAACAGTGGCCTCAAAAGTACACAGGAGCAGTACAATAGTAGTTCACACAAGAATTCTTATCTATATGCTCCTACAATTAAAATGATAGGCAATGCTAAAGATAACGAAAACTTACTCCAATAGCTATTATCTAAATCAAGCTAGGAAGCGCAATGCAATACTGAAGATTTTAGCAATGCAAGGGAAAAAAAAGAGAAACTCACCCTGGAGGGAATTTGCTATCAGCACGAGCTTCAACACGAAGCCACCATAGCAAAACTTGTCGCCCACAGCTCCCAAGTGGCTCTACCATAGAAGGATCCTTCAGCAAAGCTAAAGGACTCTCTATATTCTCATCAAGCAAATCAAGATCCTTAACCCATTCAGGCTTATCCTGAGCTTCCTTCAAAAGCAACCTTGAATTCAACACAAACCCAGCCCACTCAAGCTTCCTAGGCAACACTGTAGCTCTATCATCGATATAAACGGCACTCTTCCCCTCATACGGCAACGAATTAAACGTATGCCACCCAACCAATTTGTTAGAAGCATTACAAGCTGGGCCCTGAACAGGCATTGATGGATTAGACAAATTCGGTTTCACATCCTTCTCAGCCACAGCCGAAGACGACTCACCAACACCACCACCACCACCAGAACGAACCAGAATCCCAACCGAAACCGCACCAAACCATTTCACATTTTGTATCTCATCAAATAGCTCCATACTATGCATGTTACTATCATCCGCAAACATCACTATTCCATCCATCATCTCCTCTCTCACAACTCTGCTCCACACCAACATAATTTACATTAATAGTATTAATAATAATAATAATCAGTTCCAATCGAAACTTGACTGCAAACTAAACTTAATAATAATATTAATAATAATAATCAATTCCAATCGAAACTTGACTGCAAACTAAACTAAACTAGAAATTATTTAAAAAGAAAAGGAAGATTAACCTCAAAGCTCGAAGTCGCATTTTAGTCTCCAATTTGTGCCTTCCTTCCCAAGAATTCGGCATTTTCTGAGTAAATCCAATATGAAGAGTCTTGATACTCGATTTGGCGATAATGGAAGCAGTTTCATTGGTGGCACCACCGGCCTCCACCACGATCCAGACGACGTCGTAGGGGACCAACATCAGAGAATGCATAACGCCAGTCAAATGTAAAGTTTGGAAAGTCCGTACATAAGTGGGCGTGACTACGATAAGGGTCCTAGGACTCTTCACACCGAATTGAGTCCTTTGCTCTCTCTGAACAGTCTCTATTATCTGATGCGCCTTCATTACTTCACTCGGGTTCGGGTGCGGCCATGGCCGGATCCGGATCCCGTGACGTCCGACCACAACTCTGGAACTCGAGCTCAGCGTTCTGTTGATAACCGGGATTTCAAGGGGGAGATCATTGATGTTATTATTCGTTTTGGTGAGATGGGGGAACGGTGTCGCCATGTAGAGAGTTGTAGTGGTGGAGGTGGAGAAGAGGAAGAAGAAAACGAGACGAGAGAAGCGAAAGCCGAGGACAAGACTGATGAGACAGCAGAAGCCATGTAGAAGGAGCCAAAAGATCGCGGCTGGTGATTTGATTGTGTTGTCTGTGGATGAATCTAAGGGTGCTGATGATCCTCTAAAACTTGCGCTTCGGCGGTTCATGTAGCTCTGCTGTAGCGTGGAGAGTTTCATTTCTCTCTCTCTCTCTCTCTCTCTCTAAGAGTATTTTTTGTAGA